CGTCTCTGGGTCTTGAAAAAAAGAGTAAAATCCAATTCTGGTTTCATAGCATTAGAAAAATGCACACAGTGACCAAACTCTGTTAGGGTGGGAGCCCCCCAGAAATTAAACGCTGATATAAGTATGAAAAAAACATCCCCATCATAATTTTAAATCAGCGTTTTTAATTTAACTTGACTTTAGAAGATTTTATAAGGTGAAGGAAGTATTCCAGTCTTAAAGCTGCAATTTTATATTTCCTGAAGTATAAAGGCTTTATTTACATTTTAATTAGGATAATCTACTAAGAATAATCAAAAGGAAAATTTATTTATGAGACATGAAAACACCCCAAATCCAAACGCAGTCACGTCTTTAGATGTTGTGGTCTCCGACGTGTTGTGTTTCTCATATGCTTTCTATCTAATCTTTAATGCTGTGAGAATGAAATGTGACGTAAGAGACTTACTACATGCAATTGTTACAAAAAAGATGAAGACAGTTTTGGATTTAACTTGAGCACTTTAAGAAGTATAGGGCAGCAAACACACTCAATCACACTTAACAGCCTCAAAATGAGCAGTTCTTTAGCTTCACTATGCTGTAATCAACAGGACAAGTGAACAGCAGTTGCTTTGCATGACAAATAACAGGTTGGGACAAGCCTGAGGCTTCGGGAGCACAGTTAACCACCAGGAACTGACCGGCTGTCTGCTATAATACACAAACAAGTGCCAAGAGGTAGAACAACAGCCGTGTGGACGTACCACAAAATTCAGTTCTCTTCACTCTTAAGTGTTTGCAGGATCAATTACAAGACATGTTTGGTTACATTCAAGCTGCAGCTGTGACACAAACCCCCATGCTGACATTTTTTGCAACATGGCTGCATCTCAAATCAAATCAGAATTTATTTATATAGCACTTTAAAAACAACGTCTGGTTGACCAAAGTACTTTACAAGGGCAAGTTAAGAACTAAAATAAATAATATCAATAGAGGACTTTAGGTGACTGAACAGAAGGGACATTTTTAAGCACAGTAAAAAGACAACGGCTTTAATTTACACTTCAACTCTCCTGTTACTCTAGCACCATCTTGCACTTGACCCACAAAATCAGACTCATTTATAATTCAGTTTTAGATGAAGCAGTACAGCCATACAGATTGTCTAATCATGATTTAGCATGCCAATTTGTCAAATGTCATTAGTACAGCTATTATGGGAAATGTGGAATTAGTATTTATATTTTCTGATCCTTCATCGTTAAGACATTTCTGCTGGGAGCATTCACCCAGACAGTTTGGTTCTCACCTTGTGTTTTACACCTGTACAGGAAGCACGACAGGCACAGTGATGGCAAACCACGGGATCTCAAAAGCTTAAGGACATGCCCCATCTATGCCACACTGACCGGCAGAAATCTTTTAATTTACATCTACAAAACAACCACCACAAAAAAACAACACTGGCAACTAGGTCAAAATCAAAGATATATCCAATTAGCTGTTTGCACCAACTTTAAATAATAATAGTACTGCATCTACTGTTTAAATCTATATATTTCAAATCAACTTTTATAACATCGAGGCCAAATACTTGACAAAATTTGGCAAAAATAAGTCCACTGTCTTCAAAGACCAAAGTCTGTTCAGTTGTCATGGCTCAGTTTTTATTATGTGGCCTTTATGTAACGTTTGATCATACAACGATGAGTGACTGTATGAAGCTGGAACTGTGACTGTTCTTGTTATTCAAGGACGGTATTTGGAAGTTGAATGCCTGCTGATGAAAGCTACATTAGTTGAAAGGTAAGTGGCCTTGGTGTTAAGATCCTTTACCCAAACATTGTTAAACAAAGAGTGCTGGGCTCGTATCAGCAAAATGTATTATACATGGCAAGTAGAACAGCCTCATAAATTAAAGTATGGCAGGAAAAACGTTTTGGTAATACAGATTATCTGCTCTGAGTGGATGATAGAAATATTACCACAGGATTATAAACACAATCTTGACATAGGCAGTACATCGTGAGCTTCACAGAATGAGTATTTATGGAGGTTTCATAAGAATTTTTTTGAATAACCAGAAGACTGAGACTCTGACAAGACAGACAAAGCAAAAAAATCCATAAAAATGTCTCACAGATGTGTGAGGACAGTGTTTCAAGGGCAGGTTGCAGAGCAGTTAAGGAACAAACTTATTGTTTGTATGGTTCTGCCTCTTGTTGATCAGACCAACACCCTCCATAATCACCCGGTCACCACAACTGTGTCTCCTATGAGCCACAGTTAGTCTCAGCAGTTTAACACAACAGCCAGACTCGCTATGTAAATAAGCAGTGGTCTGATGTGCAAAGAGCACATTTCTGATAAGAGGCCATATAATCAATACACTGTGAGGTGCCCTGGAATACAAAAACAGATTAGAGTCGGGCTAAGACAATTAGTCAATCAATCGATCCATTAAACAGAAAATTAAACAGCATGAACGCACTGTATAGTATCTCCAACAGGAAAGGACAATCTCTACATCTGTAGCAGCATGAAATGAATTTAGGTTTTAGTCCTTGTTAAAGAGTCTGAAAATCAGAAAATACCTTCACCTGGTTAATTCATTTTTCCTATTTCAAAATCATTACAAAAATGCCAAAAAGCATCATTAGGATCCACCGAATATTTAGCAGTTGCCTCAGGCTACTAACTCTTTGTCACTTTACGCTGACAGGATGTGTAATCAATACTTTTCATTCGGGGCCTGAACCAGGAAGGTGCTTGATCACGCCTCAGTAATTAGAAAGCAAATAAAGACCCTGAGCTTCAAGCTCTCTCCTGCATTGTATCACTGCTGTTGGTGAAAGTAACACATAACTAATCAACCCAGGGAGCCATGAAGATTTCACCCCAGACATCATTTAGTGCCTCTATGTGTTGGCATGCTTGTTTCGCTCTAGGAGAATACTGATCAACACTGGTGGTACCTGATGGGGGCTTTTGGTTTGTGTGTTACTGAGGAGTGTGTTCTTATCTTAAACTAGCCAGACATCCCAAATGAAAACACACAATGTCAGTGTTAAAATGCCACAGTATTATGCTGATTTGGATTATCCATAACATATTTAATACAAAATCAATTTAATGGGTCACTGATTCTTCTATTAATAACAGTATTCTCTTTGCTCTGAATTACTATCTATGGAAAACTAGGTACGTTTTTGAATTTCTATTGCTGAAGACTAAATCATGTTGTAACACCTGCACAGCCACTGCATTGTGGAAACACTGTGATAATATGACAAACACATCAAGGTTGACTTCACTGTCATCATGCTGCTTTTTAATTCTCTTCTAAAACAAATGTCTGTTCTTCAACAGTCAGGCAACAGAAACAAAACTGCTCATCACCTGAAGGTATTTAATAAGTATCTACATGTCACATATAAAAAAAAAAGACCTTGGTTGTCAAAAAACTCAACACATTTCAAAAGACTATTATCCGGCTGTCTGCTGAATTACATCAAGGCTTCACTTCCCTTCTTTGCATAACTTAATTCAGCCCCCCCACCTGTGTTAACTGGAGTCATAGAGGCTTGTTAAAGAGGCTAAAGACTTACTTTGCCTCCAGCACTGGTAGCTTCAGCTTCCCTGCTGAGGTGGAAAGCTGTGTGAATGACCTTTTCAGTTTTGTTGCTGCTGTGGAGTTCGAGCTAAGCAGCTGATGAGACTTGTAACTTGAATAACTGGACATTTATTCACCAGGTAACATGAAAATCACTGCAGCTGTTGTGTTCTGAAATGTTCCGCATCCCCAAACTCATACAAGTAGGTCTGCACTGTTTATTTTGAGAATGTTTAGGTCAACTTACACATATGAGTCATGTCGTCATTCTCCTCGCCCTGCAAAACTGGGAAACAGAAAATTAAATAAACCAATACCAAATTCATATATATGTGATTTGTGTGTGCATTACTTGTGAAACTACAGAATCCAGATAGTTCTGAAGTTGAAACCATGATTTAAGGTTATAGTAGATGATACAAGACATGTCCATCCACTTAATATTGAAGTCCAGGAACCAGCTAGCAAGACAACAGTAAGGGAATCAGCCTCTGACTGGTCGATTCCGTATTGGTCAGCAACATCAACACATCCACCATTATGCAGCTGTCAAGAAACTGAGCAGACAACATAGCCAGTGCCCCATACAATTTCCCTGGCAGCCTCTTGCTTGCAGAGTAGGCGTATTATTTGGTTTTCTTAGAACCACATACAGATTGCCCAAAGTGCCACTTTGTTGACAGCTGTTGCCAAAGGCTTAACAATACAGTTGTCAGAAATAAATGCTTAGCAGTTTGCTGAACTATTAAAACTCTGCAGAAAATCTCTAGACACAACAACAGTCTGACAAACAACTCCTGCTCAAAAGCACTGACAATGGAAATCCCCAATGCAGCAGAGCAGACAAGAGTCAAAAACATAACACAACACCCAGCAATAAAACTTTCTCTTTCTGTCCAGACTTTTTAAACTAGTAATAGCAACTGTAATATTTCACATAAAGATAATATTATATCAACTTTGAAAACTGAGTGATGATAAAACTGAACTTACATGTACAACAAATACTGTAGGCCCAGAAAACTTTGTGTAATCACACTGAAACAGTTCATCTTCAGAAGCTGAGGGTCAGAGGTCCAGAAAAATGGCCTCTGTCATCAGGATTTGGCTTCATCACTGGCCATTATAATCAAATGTCTGGATAAAATTGTGTTGCAAATGACGAAAACACTCTCCTACCTTTCAAATTTTGAAAGGTTGTTCCAATGGTGTGCCGCAGATTTCCATAGTCATTTGAATGTTGCCGCGCGTATTGTAGCTCGGTGCTGCCTCTAGAGGTTGGAGGCTAAATTAAAGATGACGGACTGGTATCTTGCAATAAACCTTCTGACCGCCAGTTGCGCTCTGGGTCGGGGTTGGGGAGGTTACCAAAGGCTCTATCTTAACTGAATTTTAAATCTAAAGAAATGCAGTTTGATGTTCAAATTCCCTTGTTCGTGGTAGTTTTACGCAAAAACATCTTGTCATCTTTTAATCTGTAAAGGGGCAAACTGGAAAGATGTTTAAGGTTTTGATACAGAGACCGTTTTTCTCAACCATCACCTCTTGGTAGGAGTCAGTCTGAATTTTGCCAAAGCACCCAACAAGCATTATGCCTGAATTATGGTGAAGTTAGTTGACGTGCCCAAAACACCTATTGCGTTTTCATTAAGTTAACAGATCATTTGATATGTCAGTTTGAGTTGACCTCTTTTTAAGCCTTATCAAAACGCTCCTCTATCATCTTCTCATCAAGTGGGTTTCTCTTAACGCCTCAGGTTTCATTAAAATGCATGTTCCATGTAAATCAGCTCAATCAGTATGCAGGGCTGAATCACAGGAGACGTTGAGAGGTGAGTGTGTTCAGCACCTCCTCAGGACGCTGTTTCTGGGCGTCCTTTAACATCTCCGCGCACTCCAGCTGGACACAGTCATCACACGCTTCATACCACATGCGCCTCGGAAGCTCGGAGCCAAGCAAGTGACGTTTGTTCCTTATTTTATTGTCCAGCCTTTGTGTCTTTTTCTCGTCTTTCGCAGACTACATTGAGGGATTATTAAGAAGAATACTGCACAGATGTTTTCCACTTCGACGCCAGTGAGAAAAACTTAAGGAGCATTTGGAGCAGAAGAATATGAATGTGCCATAAACACCTGTACAAAGGTGCATTTTGCAAATGGTGAGATTAAATCCAATTAACGGGTAAGACGATACTTTTGTTCAGTTAGAGTGAATGGTTGGTTGCCATATTGTTCAGCTGTTTAACGTACATAACCCGGTTAATATGATTATTCGATTTTAATATGAACATGTTCGAAATTTTAAGCACTCCAACGTTCACCGCAGTGTCACTGTTTTCCAGCCTGCAATTTTAATGTTAACTCATAAGATGATCGTGTTTTTGCACGTGTATTAGAGCATAATGTATCATTAAGACCAAACAAAAACCTCTGCCAGGTTTGTGCAGTTTGCTAACAATGAAAATGAAACTCCTTGACCTCATCATTAGAGGGGTTTTTTTTCTATAAACTGGATTCGCATTATTAAATATGAACATGTAATCATTTGTTCAGTTGAGTGTCCATCTTCTACCCTTGGTCACTATAGTTAGAGCAGAATGTGTAGCTTCTAGCAGTGGGGAGAGAAAACACTACAGGGGGAAAATGTTTTGTCACATTCTTCACTTTTGTCTGTTCTGGCGTTTCTGTGGCGCTTTTTATAGCAAGAAGGCATGTGGCACATTGTGGACAATGCCTCAGCTGCAGCACTTTATCCAATCACGATGTAATATTTATTCATATAAATAGGATATTTCTACTACCAACAGTGATAAGTGATTTGTGATAGATTCCATTTATGATTCATTTCAGTAACTGTGTTTTAAGGAAGCTTTTAAGGATGTTTTTATTTCTGTGCTCTCTTTCTGTAGGACTAATTATATTTTTTTTCCTATCTTGTGCAGTGCAGTTTGGTGTTTCTCCTTTAGACATTGCACTCTTATACTGCACGTACAGGTTGTGATGTCAACGAGCTCAAACCTTTACTAAAATTGAGGTGCCTGTTTACCAGAAACAAGACTCCAGGCCGTGTCCATCCTCTCCTGCTGCCACAGTGAAAAATGGAGAATGGCAAAATAAAACCTTTTATATTATTGGCACCAAACTAAGTTGTCGGACCATGTTTGCCTCCTGTGCATTGGCAGTGACAAGCACTTTAATCTGATTGCAGCAAGGCACTATCATTCATTTGCTTAGGCTGGGATTATTTTACATCCATGCTAACCCCATAACAAATGTGTCCGCAAAGAATTCATTGATAGCTATCACAGCTGATCATTTAGCAGCATTTGAAAAGCAAGTATTTCCCCAGGCAGCGCTTAAGGCTGTAGAGTGTACAGAGTGATTTCCCCTGGCACCAGTGCTTGACTGAATAAACATACACAGACAGTCTGGACTCTGGTAGAAGTCACCGATTTAGATCCTGAGGTGCTCTTCTTTACACATGCGATCAATCAGGTCTAGTTTCAAAGAAGAGGATCAGTGTAAGATTTATAAATTCACCATAGAAACTCTTTGCTATAAGGGTGATTTTAAAAAAAGAACACAAATAACTGTAACATCTTAAATCTGGTTTATAACAGGGATTATCATGTTGTGTCTTGTCATCATGTGCATTATGCAATGTCTACTTGTTACACTCACATCACAACCCAACATCTGTCAACAAGTGGTCTGAAGAAGGAAGGAAGATAACACTCAATATCTGATGAAAATTATGACTATGAATCTCACTTTTCTTCTTCTGCAAAGCATAAAATCAATATTAAAATCCATCTATCCATTATTTATACTGCTTAGTCCCAATCAGGTTGCAGGAATATTAAAATCAATAAATGTATTTATAATAGAGAGGTAATTTAAAATTTGTCTGGATTATTACTGACATAGATCTTCATGTGTGCAGTTAGGACGCCATAACCGGTGTGAGACTGAGAAAGACTGAGGTATCATGGACTCCTGGATCCTGCCATCATCCCCTCCGAACCTGTCAGAGAACCTTATGTATGACAGCTTCATGCAGGGCAATGAGTCTGGCCTTCATTGGAACTACACAGACCACAGCTTCAACAAAACCAGTACAGTGGTCATTACCTGCATGTACTTTTTGGTTTGCACTGTGGGGCTCTGTGGGAATGCTCTAGTCATCTATGTCATACTGCGCTACGCCAAGATGAAGACAGTAACCAACATCTACATCCTTAACCTGGCCGTGGCTGATGTGCTCTTCATGCTGGGCCTACCATTCATTGCCATCCAGCTGGCACTAGTCCACTGGCCTTTTGGTCCTGTGCTCTGCAGAGTAGTGATGACAGTCGACTCCCTGAACCAGTTCACTTCTATCTTTTGCCTGATGGTCATGAGCATTGACCGCTACCTGGCTGTGGTGCATCCAATCAAGTCCACAAAGTGGCGGAAGCCTCGCATGGCCAAGACCATCAATTTAGCAGTGTGGGGGGTATCACTGATGGTTAATCTGCCCATCGTCATCTACAGCGGCATCATCACAAAGCACGACGTCTGCTTCTGCAGCATCGTGTGGCCTGAGCCTCAAGAGGCCTACTACACAGCGTTCATGTTCTACACATTCATCCTGGGCTTCTTCCTGCCCCTCATGGTCATCTGCCTTTGCTACTTGTTCATCATCATCAAGGTGAAGTCATCAGGCATTCGTGTGGGCTCTTCCAAGAGGAAGCGCTCAGAGAGGAAGGTGACTCGGATGGTGTCCATTGTGGTGGCAGTATTTGTCTTCTGCTGGCTGCCTTTCTATGTGTTTAACGTCACCTCGGTGACCGGCACCATCAGCACCACTCCCATCCTGAGAAGCACTTTTGCTTTTGTGGTGGTGCTAGGATACGCCAACAGCTGTGCCAACCCCATCCTCTATGCCTTCCTGTCAGAGAACTTTAAGAAGAGTTTCCAGAATGTTCTCTGTCTTAAAAAGGTGGGAGGGCTGGATGAGGTTGAACACAGCGATAGCCACCAGGATAAATCCCGCATGATGAATGACCCTACAGAGACGCAAAGTACTCTGCTGAATGGTGACCTGCAGACCAGCATCTGAGAGGAAGGTGACGGGCCTTGCCTGCACACACAAGGAGACAGACGTTTTCTGAAACTGGAAACAGCCAGCTCTTATCAATCACAGCAGAGAGGAAGTTATTAAATATTTAACAAGGACTTTACAGAGGAACATGTCACTTATTAAAGGGGATAAAGCACCAACAGAAATTAAAAATTCAAAAGATGTTGGATTCCTCTATCTATCTTTGACATTTTGTCGGGTTTCCCCGGCTGTAAACAAATCCTTTATAACACACGTCTGCTCTGTTCTGTAAATGAAGTGAAAATTAAATGTGTCTTCACTGTATTGACACTGAGGTAAGCTAGAGCACATGAGTGCCCACTTATTAATGGTTCCTTGGGTGACATGAATTTCCCCTCAGAGACACAGAAGGCCAGGGCCAAGTTACATTTTTTTGTGTTTTTGTGTAAAAACATAACATGACAACATAACAGAATGCTTATATGCTGTAAAACAACATACTGTTGATAGAATTGACAACCTCATCACTGTACATATCTATTTTGCAGGTTATTTTCTCTGGAGAGTGGTTCGACTGTAAATAACTGTACAGAACACAAAGAGATTTATATTTGGTGTCATTTAGTTTTGAAACTCTTAATCTATCTTACCATTGACTCTTATGTTCTGTAAGGTTACTTTTGTACTTATTTTTGCATGAGCAGTTTTACCTGTGATACAAGTGTATCAGCTGTAGGTGTCGACAACAATGTTCAGTCACTGTGTCACTTTTCCCTGCTTTATTAAAGGTACATGCATAATTAATGGTACATCACTGGTACTAGCTCAGTTGATACATAGAGCATAATTAATGGTACATCATTGGTACTAGCTCAGTTGATACATAGAGCTAGTCTCTAACCAAAGTGCTGCTAAGATGTATATAAACTCTCCTACAATTTTATATAGTATTATATAAAATAAAGTTGCTGTATGCCATATTCTACTGGTGGATAGTGGTATTAGTGGCTCTTTCTTGTTGTTATGTCATCTGAGAGCATAAAACCTGCTCAGATCATATTTGATAAATGTTTATTTTACTCCCATTTTCTGTCCACTGTTCTTCCCAGGGTTGTATTGTGTTTTAAAGGACCCAGGTCACTCAGTGGTGTATTTAACATATTTTTTAAACATGTGATCAGTCTAGTGTTGTTTCATTGTGCTGTTTTAAAGAAAAAACTGTTTGGTATGTTTCTATTGTGACCTTTTGTTTTTACTTCTGGACTTCCTACTTTCTATGACTTTGAGAATATAAGGAGCTTGAGGAACATGTCCCCCTACCACCTCTCGTTGTGAACTACTCAGTTCGTTCACACTGACACATGTTCCTCCTATAATCCATTGCATTTGGGAGGCCACCTTTCAAGCGTGTTTTGTGACTTGGAGTGTCTAAGAGAGTGAATTTGTGAAGGGCTAGAACACATATCCTCAAGAGGCTCTGGTGTTCTTTTATCATCATCACTGTGCCACTCTAGGAGTCCACAGTTCAGCCTGGACTTCTGTTATCCCCTGTCTGTTGCTGCAGTCAAATCTGTATGAATCATTATTCCTTCATATGCAACAAAGCAAGTAACATATTATGATTTATGTGCAAAGTATAATCTGTGTGTGTGTGTGTGTGTGTGGCCAGGTGCTACTCATGCTGTGGGAAATAAATCTGTTTACACAGTCACATTAGTGTAAGAGTAAGGTTAGGCAAGTAGTGGTTATAGGGTAAGCCTCCAGTAAATGAATATAAGTCAGTGTAATGGAAACACGAGGTGTGTATTTCCATTATATATGTAGCTATTGATATTGATGGGTAAAGCTAGTAGATGGGTGGCTGGGCGTCTAAACCACACTAAGCAGGCTGTTGTAAATGTGTGCATATAACTTCTTCATGTATGAGTCTTGCATAATAAGCAGAAATACACACACACACACACACACACACACACAAATTCTGAGCACCCAGTGCAGACTAACCAATTTCCATATACAACTTCTGTCTCTGCAGTATTGCTGAACTTGATACCTAGCCTGTAACATCTTTTTAGCACTAAAAGAGATGGCGAACCTCTAGTGTCCTATACTATATTTCCATAGCAACAGTGACTAAGAATGTTGGTCCCATGGTTACATTCATTAGCATAATAATGATAGAAAGATAACTCTAGATATTACAAATATAGACATTCCAGAGATGGCTGAATATATAAATAAAAATAAATAAATACATGCTGCTACACATCAGCTATTAATCCCAAATGTATAGCCTGTGTTAGTGTGTGGTATAAAATGTAAGTCAGAGCAAATCATCTTGCTTTATGTATCACACTAGCAGATATTACCAGATCAAGGCTGCGTTCGCTGTATAAGGCAGACTGAACATGCATAAGTAGTTATTGTAAGTAATAATAATTCTGGCAAACACTTTTATCACAACAGTGCTTACAGTTTACTTTAAGCTAGTTCAACTTTCAAGACTAGCAGATTTCATACTTGGCATTTGTTCCATTGGTGTAACAGTTCAGTGTGGTTTTTATTTTTATTGCTAAAATGCTATTACTCATGTTCTTTGAAAAATTTTACTGCCATTGTTGAAAGTTTTATTGTTTCCATAGAACGCTTGCATTATGTTCTTACAATTTCTGTTCTGTTAAATAATGCTGATCAAACAAAGACTGTGAATAGTTGTGCTGAAACTAAATAAAGAATAAGAAACATAAAATACATTTTATTTTGGTGCAATATTGTGGAACGTCCCTCTCTTTGAAATTAATGTATGATAAAATTAGCCAAATATTAAAACTAAAAACTAAAGTTTTAGTTAATGGTAAGACATGTTTATATTAAATTTCAACATCACAGTTGTTCCAAATCTCTGTTATTGCAGAAATGCTATTAAGCTGCATGCTATAAAAATATGAACGTACTATTTGGCTCTATTACTGAAGGCATAGAAATGATTTTCTTTGCATTTTTTTCAGTCTTACCTGTCTTTATATTGCTGGCTTGATTTTTTTTTGTCAGAATGTGTTGCACTTCTTGGTTTAACCACAAAGTGGCGGCACAATCTCATGCACAACCACATTTGCTCTAAAGCCAGAAGCATTAGGCTGCAATACTTGCACCTTTTTCAAGTGTTTATCAACTCCTGATAAATAGGTTTTATTTCCTTTAGTGCATCGTTTTGCTCTACAAGGAGAATACCTTGGCATTAACGCAAGGACAGCAATTCACTTTGAGGAACTTTCTTTTGTCCTAACAACAGGAGCAATGAATGGAAGAATGAGACAAAACATACACATTCCAGTTGTGTTCTGAGTTTAATCACTGAAACAGATAATGAAGCTCTCCTCATATTTTCATTCCAGCTGTGTCCCTGAAAGTCCTTGGGTGGTCTTAACAGCTCCATGATACATCAAATCCAGTACGACCATTCATGCCAAGTCTTTAATGTTACTGTTCAGAATCCCACTGTTGTTCTCTTATTGAGGTTATGCAGCAGAACAAGGGATATGCATGTTTGATTTCATTTACGGAGCAGCTAAGCAACCACTGGTTGTGGTTTTATGTGGCATTACTTTGTGATAGGTTAGGGTCCCTCATCTTATACATAAGTATTTTTTATGCATACACAATATGTGACATTCAAACCGAACTGACTGCAACACCCTGCTGTGTATGTGTAAGTCTTACTTGACAGCATACTGACTGAACAGAGCACTGGGTTTACTGCACTGCAGAGCCGAGATACGGCACAGAACAGACCGGTCTACACCAGCCACACAGTTGCCATGGAGAAGAACAACACTGATGAAACCGGAGCCAGGCTGTGGTCGCACACTGCTCATATATGTGCATTGTGTTTTACCCTCTATGTATTCCACATGATCACATTCCCCAACTACAGGACAAAAGTCGTGACAGGCAGCAGGCCTGAGGGCAGTTTTTCCACATAATATAAGCTCATGAGCTTAGCTGCATGCAGTGTTGTTTTTTTTTTTTGCACAGAGGATTCAAGGTGTTGAATGAGGAGAAACCACAGCCTTCTCACATAATATAGGACCTTGTCTGGAGTTTATGTATTGAGTCTGCTCTTCAGAAAGCCATAGAAAAACCAAAGCTCACATTCAACATACGGTTCATAAACAGCAAAGTTGAGCCAATTTTATCATCACCAACATTATACCAACAATTCCACAAGAATGAAAGTATAATACGCCCAAAAACACTAGGTCCTGTACTCAGACAGCGAGGGACATATGACTGTACTGAAGGAAAAATAAAAGACATTGAAATGAACAGTAAACCAAAACTGAAAATTCAATGATTTGCTTAAAAAAGATATTCCCTGCCCATAATCAGACTTAAAAATAAAACCATCAACACAGTAAATAATGGAACATGACCACACTCAGGTCCCAAGCAGTTTAGTTTCCATGGCAGCGCTTCTGGGCAAAGTCGGCATCTCTAAGCTCTCCCATGTTGTCTTTGCTCTTTGAAAATAGTTATATACTAACTTCATACAGTATTTCATAACTAAACTCACAAATAAGAATCATAACCATACCTTTAAAAATGTTCTTGCACAGTTCATAATACGTGATTTATTTTAATTTTTTTTTTTTTTTGCATTCAGTCCCATATGCATATGACAAACTGTCTTCAATCATGACTCAGTTAAATGCTTGGTCAGTTGAAACATGAGCACCGTGGGAGAGAAATGGAGGGTGTGTGGAGGTGGAGGGGGTCAGAATACTGTGATAAAAATCCAGATGTGCCCAATCCACATGACAGTCAGTCATGCAAAGACCCTGCAGCAGGAAGGCAAAGAGAGAGACAGTGAGGGGTGTGGAGCCTCTTCCCTCTGCCCAAGCCTGGAACTGACAACACCAGACTCTTCCTCCTCCTCCTCTCCTCTTCATTCAGTTTTGTCAAGTAGATGCCAAGAAGTAGCTCAGTGCTTGTTGTTTTTATTTTCCCTTTTGAAAGGTTGCATGATTTCACACGTCTTTTTATTTTCATCCTCCAGAGCTGGAGGAGTAGACTGGTAGTCAAAGAGTTTCAGGTAGGTTTGTGTTTCATCCTGTCCCCAATCCTATTCGACGCAGTGGTTCTTCATGAACAGTGGTTACAAAGACTACTCATACTCAAGGAACTGTTTATGGTAGAATAAGAGATACCTAAGGAGGGGAAAAACATTTTACTCAGGCGTCATACTGTATAATATCTTACAGTACTGTTAAGTTCCATTTCCATTCTTACCCTTCACTATCGAGTACATCTTTAATGCTGGCCTTTGTAATTATGGCATCATCACATTTGAACCACTGGTCTTTGTGCTGGCGGATGAAGCTGGTGTAGTGGCCACTTTCTAATGTGCCTTGATGGTTGACCACTGCAAACAAGGAATACCTGGAAATAAAAAAACATAAGTAAACAGACATGATGAGATGGCTAAACATCCTTGTGGTTCCTTTAAGTTTGTCCTAGTTTTGTTGTGTGACTTCACTTTGACACAAGTATCTAACAAAGCACTTTTCTCAGATCAGAGAAAAGCTTGCACTTTGCCTCGTCATCACCACAGCTAATTTTGAAATGGTATTAAGAAAATCAGTTCCATGTCTGGTTAATGTCTCGGAAAATGACAGTTACTGCAACTGCTAGTGATGAAGAAAACTAAGCAGCTTTTAATAAGGGTTCAATTTGATTTAATCTAGGAAAGTCACAACCTTCAGGCAATTAGCATGCACCGCTGTGCTAAGGTAGACACTTGTCCTGTCATGTCAGTGCGGCTGTGCATCTGCTGACACTGGAGTGTTAATAAATCAATTTTATGTAATACGTGTTTCCCAAGGTACTCACTTATTGTCGTTGTTTAATACATCAACTGTCTGTTGATACTGTCCATTCATTCTGCTCTCTTTACTGTAGATGACGTGACAAAGAAAAACACAAAGGCATTTTAAATGCTTCATGCCTGTGTAAACATGCTTCACTGGCACATCCTGTATATCCACTAGATGGCAGGATTGTTCTATCTATGAAAGCCAATATCTCTGTCAGTACCACTAATGAGCTTTCAGTGTCTGGAAAGAGCTGAATGGATCCTACATCCAGGGGTGGGGCAGGATTGCTGCTGCATGCTCTACTGACACTAATATACATTTATTGGGAGCATTCATTAAAGCTGTTTTGGCATAGATGCAGATGTGTGCAAATGGACAGTTTGTACAGTAGATGAGAATATTTATAAACATTTAAATCTCAATAGACAAATGGAGGAGATGCTGTAGTATATTTAGAGGGGAAAAAAAATGTATCTTTGCCTGTGTTTTCACTGGCAGCACATTCAAAATATGGGTAAAGAAGCTGACGGGCTGCCCAACAAGAAAATAATAGAAGAACACAGCGACTTCTATTGGAGTCTCACCTGGATGCCATGAAAGGCGTCATGTCCAACTCAAGAGGAAAGGAAACATATGTAGTGATCTTCCTCCGCAGTTTAGCAGAGTGCTCAAAGCGCTGGAGATGGCCAGAGAGGGAGGACAGAAGGAGAGGGGGGAAGGGGTAGGAAAATTAGAGAGAGTGGGGGAGGGGGAAAACATTTTGAAAAAAAACCAAACAAACAGGTATCATTATTACAACATCCGAAAACATGATTAGTGAAAAGTGGAAATGCTTGTTTTCCATTCTGGCTGTCGCACATGTACATAACAAGATAATAGCAGGTTTGGACTGATCCAAGACAATCTTCTTGTAGCCTGTTCCTATGAATATCATAAATACATTATAGGCTTCAATCCTGTATGATAAATAAAACATGGACAGCAGAGGACTGTACAACTCATTAAAGTCATAGGTGTCCTGGGACACTGCAAATGGGCTGCACAGTAGGAGGTTATGCACCACCAAGTGAAGCGAACTGTAAACACACCTACGCACAGCCAATGTACCAGGCTGCGAAATCACTGCAAAATATGAACTTCACCTCCCTCAGATGTAAGGTTGCATACACACAGCACAAAATTATCATATATTACTGCATATAAGCGCATTCACATGCATGAGGCTATGGTCACAAAAGTAACACCAGAATTCTGATTGTATATATGTATCTTGAATGTCATAAACAGTAATGTTATCCATTTGAATCAACAAAACAACAAAGTGTACAAAAAGTGTCGGATACAGATAATGTAACGAGTGAGAACTGGCAACACATAGTCTTCAGCTGACTCACTTTGAGATGGAAACATGCTACGATGGGGAGCTTCTTCATTGTCAGCTGTTTGGTGGACTCCTGGTAACTATGGCAACCGCCGCACTTGATTTTGGCACTGCTTCCTAGATGCTCAGGTCGTGTAAACCTGCAGAGCGAGTGTAAGTGGAGTGTAAGTGTGTAACAGCAGAGAATATATGGGCAACAAAAAAAGTTTAAGTAAAAACTAGGAGAACAGGGAGAATACTGTTATGTTTCTGAGTGGTATGTTTTCTTTTGTTAAGCCACTCACGTCCTTCCAAATATGCACCCCACCACGGTTGTCTAGTCATAGATCTCTGGCTTGAAGTTAATCTGAAGGTATTTGAGGACTTGAGCATCAAGTTTGCCTGCAGAGTTTTGGTATAACCACTCTGTATGTCATTTCACCCAACCCAGAGCCTTGCTGGTATTGCCAGCACCTCTATCACCACGGCAACAACACCCACCAGTTCTGTACCTTTAAGAGACTTGCTGCAGCAACTAGGGGTGTGTGAGGAGCTGCAGTAAAAAGAGTGAGAGAAAGAGAGGAGGAGAATAAGATGAATGCATGAGGCAAAAGGGAGAGGGCACAGGGGAAAATTAGGTGGAGAGAGGAGGGAATGAAATAAGATAAGAAGAAGAGGGTAGGAAATTTCAAGAAGGAAGAGGCAGAGGAAGAGATATGAGAGGTCACACCTGCTCTGTCAACCTGATGATGGCAGGAGATGAGATCGAAAGATATCAGGGTTGTTGTGCCAGAGCAGATGCCGTTCATACAAGTGGAGAGATGAATGAAATTCATTTGACTACAAGCAGAGAGATGGCACAAAGGATGCAATAAGCCTACTGAATGAAAACAGGTAGAGGCCAGCAATACCTCCTTTCCTGTCAAGGTAACAATGTCAGTGTTAGCAGAGAGGAACATAGGTAGTAGTAGTAGTACTGTACAACAATGGGGTTTTTTTTGTGCAAAAACACATTTGATTTACAGCTGTTAAACATTTTAAAACCTAGACAATGGATGATGGGGAATTCACTGTAGTTAGCTTAAATACAGCAAATTTATAAACAAAGAAGGAGTTCAGACAGGTAAAAACAGAAAAGACAACTTGTCTGGTGTCAGCTGAGACTCAGGGTATACCTGCGTAGGCAGTCTGTGAGCGTGGTAGACCCTGACAAGTGGCTCTCTCCGTTGACTGTGCTGCCATCCCCTCCAGGGCTGAGGGGCCAGAAAGGGGTGGAGGAGCCAGGCAGGTCTAGACTGATGTCCCAGAATGGATCTATCGTTGTGGAAACCCCACTAGAAAAAGATTAAAACGGGGGAGGGAGGGGGAGAGAGAGGGGGGGAGTCCATTAAGATGTTTATTAGTGTGTTGTTGCGTGTATGTTTGTGTGCCATTTATTATAGGTCATGATGAAAGGATGATGACATAGATGGCAAAAGGCAAACTCAAATTCACACAGCCTCTGTAGATTCTGATCATGTTTTTGTTTAAGCCTGGTGGGAGATTGAGTGTGTGCATGTGCATAATATGCACACGGTTCTTCCAGGCCCATTTGCAATTCATTGAAGTGCTACATCAGAGAAAATTGGCTTTACATAAGAAATATAGTCCAGTGACCATGATGGACTGCAGCCTGGACAAAATGGAGGCTTGCAGGACAGAATGTATGCACTATACATAAAAATATATGCACCGAGGACAGGCTGTTGCACATTATCACTAGCACATTATTAGATGAGTCATTGTGGTATAATACCCAGTGGTACCAGTAGGGGGCTATTAAGGCAAGTGGGAGCACATTTATGATGGTGTGAAAGCAGCCCCCATTATTTTTCTTTTTTGTTAAGAAAGCCAAGGGGGAAACATTTGTTGTTGCTTACAGCCACAAACAACTAATGTGCAGTCAACATTGTTTAGTGACCGTGAAACGGTTCATTTTATGGCAGAACGACGCACAACACAGCATCACTAGCTCTACATCAGCTCTCTTCACCGTAGAGGCAGGCAATGTCACACTGAGCTGGGCTTGGCTTGCCTGCTAGCATGGGCAAGGTGCTTCGCAGTTCAGTGCAGTGTGCTGGTGCTAATGTGACAGGACACCTCTAGGGGCAGGCAGGCAATGCTTGGGTTGTGCTGCTGTCTAGACAGCCCCCCTTTACAGCAGCTCTGCATGGACCAGACCTTTAAATAAGAGTAGTGAAAAAGACACAACCAGTGGTTCAGCCACTCTGATAGCTCAGGTGGTGTCCACATTACTCAGCTCTAGAGCTGACTAAGGTAATGGAGAACAACAGGGTTAGAGGGATGAGTAAATGTAGGAAAAAGAGGGAGGAGGGGGCACAGGTGGTGATGTAATGCTCCATCCAGATGGATGGACAGTACACAACTAGGGTGGCACTTTAGT